AAATCACGATTCACGAGGAAAAAAATGGCTATTTCACATTTCACAGGAAATAAAAAGGGCCGATCACGGGTCACGAAAATACCCTTTACCACCCTCTTTCGTGTAAGTGATGGATCCAGATTTGCTGAAATTATGGTCCATTTCCTGCGTCGTTGACGTTTCCAAGTGCTCTAAAAAGATTAACAGGAAGATGAAAGTCAAAAAAGAAAATGTAAGATCAATTTTTGAGCTTGGAAAAGTACTTACCTAGTTCCTGTACGGCCTTCTCCCAAACCATGTTAACCAGAAAGGATAGATCGCGGCGAAACATCGAGGCATAGGAAGTAGGAGAGAAACGCAAAGAAACTGGATGTTTTCCGCTAAAGATACATGAGACGCGTGCCAAGAATAAGGCGTTCCTAAACCATCACCATTCATCGTGGGTCGTGATTGGACCCGTTGTCAAACTATTTTCATCAGTTTCACTCATAAAACCATAAATATTGATAAGAGATCCAATTTTTTTTTCTTTTTTTGCTTGTTTGCGATAGAGAAGATCACTAATTGATGAAGCCGTATTCTTTTCTTTGACTTTTTTTATGATTCGTCAAATTAACGCCTTCAAGTACATTGTTTTTCGGTTTTCTTGTTGTTCTGACACGGTCGTCGGTCTAAACACAAGGTGAACCGTGAATGTTATGTACGATTTAATTGATTTTAGGCCATCAAATGGTTGGTTGGTTTTGCACTCCGCGCCGTGTCTTTTGGCTTAGCAAACCAAAAATATATACTGGAAAAGGTTTCTTACAATTGAATTTCATGACAGTAGTTTGACAACAGTGAGGAGCTTAAGAAAGAAAATAAAAAGAAGAAGTGGCGAATTCAAACCTGTGAGAGCTCTCAGATTGTTTTTAAACCCCATGTGAAGTCGATCATTAAAAGTTTGGCAACTTTTGAGGACTTGGGTTGGAAATTAATAATTTATTACATTGACTTAAAACACCTTTCAATTTCACGTCGGTGGCAAGATGAAGATAAATAATGTAAGGTTAAATTTGCAGCAGAGAAATCACAGTTCTTTCTGAAGCACTTTGTGAAGTCATTCGCTGAAAATGTGGAAACTTTAGAGGACTTACGAATTAATTATTTATCACAATGATTTTCAATAGCTTCAAATTAGTGAAAACAAAGGGAGTTTAGCTTACCGAAAAGCCTCTAAGAGAAGGTATTCAATCACGTGCAGCAATTACGCAATATCATTGGTCCACGTTACGAGGTCCATCCCACAGTGCCTCACGTGTTTTTATTTGCAAATTCCAATCAGTCGCCATCTTGTTCCTGTGACTGAGCAACGCTCGAGGTTTGCTTTGTTTTGAGCTTGACGTTTTAGAAGTGACTTCTCGCACTTGTGCAAGGGTCGATTGCTGATTATTCCGCTTTCTTTCCAACAGAATATGACAAGTGTCGCAGCTTTGGCTGGGATACCCACTGCCACAGGAACTAAGGTAAGCTTGCAATCGGGTCGAGGCCATGTGCTATAGTTAGTGGGAAGAATCGACTGCGAAAACGGCAACGGATTTGACTTCCGTTAAAATCATCGGCGGTGATTGAAGACTTTGCTTAAGGGTCGTAAACTTGGCTATTTAACAGAGAATAAGCTTACGAATCGTTCAAGCTGGCTACGAAAGAAATTATTTTACGATCGACATATCTCTTTCCGGATTAGAGCACGTTATCACTTGTGATAGAATTTAGGTTCATTTCCTTAACCAGCAAAGGTTGCAAGGGGACTGTTTCTTCTAATTTTCTTTGACAAAATCCAGTAAAACTGTCCGATGCAACGAAAATCGTAGCAGGGAATGTTAAATAATGTTTTCATAAGATCTTAAGGTACGTGAAAGCCTCGATTATTCAAGCGAAATCTACCCGTCGTGGTAATTTTAAGTCTTCGAGGGGGTTGTTTACACTTTTGCGAGATCCAAATCTGGAATATTTTATGCCTTTTTGCTAGTTTTTCTTTAAGCTTTCCGACGGTAGGATTCATATCATATTGCTCAAACCAATCTTAACCCTAGGAAGCTAAAGTTTCATTTCCTTGGCGTGGAAGTTTATAGCCGCCTCACTGCGGTTCATGCGTGGCATCAATTAAGTCAACATTTACTAATGCATTATCTAAAGACGCCAAAACGCTTCGTTAACCAAAATTTCTTCATCGTATTTCCGAAACGAAGGAAATTATTGATTTCGCTTTCGAAGGGAACGGGTTTTTTTAACTATACGGCGAGCACGTGAGAAGTCGACGAGGAAATAAATTGCCAAAAGAAAAACATTCTTTAGCTCTCGCAGTGTTTCTATGGCTTTCTTGGTTCCTATGAATTTTTAATGTAAGGCCCTTTTAGGTGGTTTTGTTTTGTTTTATAATACGATAGTATCACATTTGCCATTTGCGTGAAGGAAATATTGAATTTATTCGGTAAGCGTCTAAATTTGGGGTCATTTGCTCACCTCGAACGTACAAGCCCGTTATAATTACAGTCGGAAAAAATTCGCTTATTGTGAATATTGTTTACCTATTTATATATTCTGACACTTCTCGAGAAGTAAGAATTAGCAAATAAATGAGTTGTTGTTTTCATAGTGGACTACGTAAAAGGAAAAACACGAAAAAATGCAAAGTCTCGAAGAATTCAAGTAAAGCATGTATTCTCCCTCTGTTTACTTACATGGGTAATAAATAATTTTTTATTAGATTTTCAAGGCTCCATTATGAACTTAAACGAAAACCTTTAAAGGTCTTAAATTATTCCAAAACATTACTTTTTTGATAAAATATTGACATCGGCCTCACTCAAGCAAGTCGCTCTCATCATTTCACTTTCTGTTCTCTTCATTTTCATTGGATGAGAGACCACTTGGTCACCTGCAAAATTAACTGCCTATGAAATTAGCTCTGGTCTCCTTTTGTACTCTACTGTCTTCCATGGGTAATGAATAAACAAAACAAGGGTAACGCATGTTTTCTCGAGCATACATGTAGTTAAAGTTTGTGACGAAAAGATGTTTCAAGATGTTCTTGTTAGTAAGAGAAGATGTTAAATGTGAAGCTTCGGAGAAATGATGAGTTGTTTAATAGCTTGTTATTAGCGTGAAATTTCTGATTATTCCATGTTTGTGACAAGCTCTAGCCCGTGAACAGGCTCCTGAGCCAGTTTGTGGTGAAGTGTGAAAGAAACATCTCTAATCAAGACAAATGATAGTTGGCAAAGCTATATCCTGAAAGTAAATATCTTTTGAACATGATGGCACTGCAAAAGGAACAACCCCAAATGCAACTTGACTCATTAAGAAAATATGGTAATACAGTGGTATCCCGATTTCTCAAACCCGTTATTTTTCTCGCGACAACTAGAGCCAAAAATCATTTCCCTCCCCTCAATTGAACCCTGTAATTTTATCCCCAATATTTTGAACTCCCCAATATATCAAATCAATTTTTGTTTCCCTTGGAGGTTCAAAAAATTTGAAATTCAACTGTAGTAGATACAATGTTTAACAAGCTGTACCAAAACTGATTTGAAGTTTGTTTTACAATAGATAACATGAAAAAAGAATATTACCCAGGTCTGATGTAATATTACAGCAGTTCTCAATTGCACATGACCTTCAGAGCAAAATGTCTAAACAAAAGGTTGAGTTTTGGTGGATGTCAGTCATCTCTGCCACTTTGCGGAAAGCCTAGGGGCATGTATGCACAGCTTGTTTGTCAGGGAACTTGAGAATGTACTAGTTATCGGGGCCACCCAAAATTTAATAGAGGTAGTCTCGCTTTGTTTTAGAATAGGCGATGACAGATCAGAGTCCAAAATAGAAATTGACCACTGAAAAAAAAACATTAAAACAACCGTTTATTATTGTCTTCATGTGATTCCATGTTACCTTAAAGCTTGTTTGTTTTTGAGTAGATTGATGTTTCTACTAAACCTCCTGTAAATTCCCAGTGTTTCCACCACATTTAAGCAGCCACCTCCCATTTCCCTGAGGGTGGCCACTAAATAGGAATTTGACTGTATTTTGTGCTCCTTTTTGCACTCGTCTAAATTGATTTCATTCAGTCTTGCTTTAACATCTTTTTCCCCTTTTCACTGTTGCAGCGTACAGCTGAAGATTTACTTAATATGACAGGTAAGGTGTCACCTGTGTTACAGTACATCATGGGCAGTTTCTAATTTCCCAACTTCTGTGGGTGGGTGTGAAAAGTGAAGGCAAAGCATTTTTCCACAGCCATTATTCGCATCCTCTCTCGGCTTCTCATAGCAACATTTTGAGGGAATTACGGGCTCCTTGTAGACTATGGCTGTATTTAACAGAAGTGTTTGACAAGGCATACATTTTAATACAAAAGGGTTTGCTGTACTATAAAAATACTAAAACCAATAGATTTTGGTACAGTAACCAGTTATCATCTCAGTGTCATTTGCCATTCATGAAGTTTGTTTTCTGTTGTCAAATTATTTTGTCTTGCTGTTTTATATTATTATATTATTGAATCTTGTGTTGTTTTCCATTAGGTCTTATGGGCGACCAAAAAAAGGTGTGTTGTGTTGAGAAAAAAAATGATTACTTGTATCTTATGCTTTTTTAGAACTACACAATCATGTGAACGGTAATTTTGTTATCTTTGTGGTGTTATCATAGCAAAGAAACTTACCTATTACCATCTGATTGCTCAAACTGCATTTTGTGAAGACAAAAGCAAAACAGCTTATCCAAGGATCTTAAAACACTCTTGAAAGTGGACTGCCTCATGTGCTATATGTTCTTCCTTATAGGCAAGATTTGAGAATGCTCCATCCAAAGTGATCCACGTCAGAAATGTACCAGCAGATGCTGTCGATACAGAGGTGTGTATGAACACACAGAATTTGTTGTTTTTCTGTCATTTGATTCTCCAAGTTGACAGAGTACAGAGTATCAATAATACTGTACACTGCTCAGTGTACTTGCTTCCAAGAAGATTTCACCCCGTGTTTTTCCTTTCTTAGATGTATTTTGCTGTTGTTACATGTGTTTTTGCTGCCTTTTTGAAAGGAGATGTAGGATTGAAACTAATAGCATTGTTAATCTGTAATGGGGGGGAATACTCTGTCAATGTTTGAGTGGGGGTGTGCCACTGGGCCACTTAAACCCTTACCCAGTACTAGACCATGATCAACTTGATTTTGCAACCCTATTCTAGACTAGGTACCCCTAACCTATCCCAGACTAGCTATCTTTTCCATGCAGAAACTTTGTCACTATTTTAGTCCAGCATACGCTAACTAAACCAGTATTTAACAAAGTCACTTCCGAGTGTCAATTTCTATTATAGAACCCTGGAAAAAGAACTCTATTCTGGACTGAATTATTCATACACCGTCCACTTTCCAAGCTCTTGAGCTTAGATTCTGAAAGGCGTCTATTGATAGGTGCTATTTTATTTTAACAGTTGCTTGCTTTGGGGCTGACATTTGGGCGAGTTAAAAATGTACTGCTCTTGAAGTCCAAGAAACCCCATGAACCTACCCAGGTAAGGATTAATTTTGTACTTGTTAGAATTTAAAGTACAGTAATTCCCTTGAAATTGTTCTACTATCAAAGATTTTTTGAAAATTGGCATAAGTAACATTCATGATATGAACAGTAAAAAAATGCAATAAAAAATGGGGTCACCGTGCTTGTTTA